AATTTGGAATATTAGCTACTTGGAGAAATAACAGTTAATCATTTGGATAAACCATGGAGCTTTCTTTATTTACTGTTTCCTTCAAATCTTTTCCTAGCTATGCACAGTTTCATTTATGGGATGGAGTATGCTGTTTTTCTTCATATATCCAAATGCTTGCACAATTGCTGACACAAATAAGAATCAATGGGAAGTTGGTTGAATGAATGGATGGATAATTTGAAAGCATCATACCTAAGTCTAGTCACAGGATTATGCACACATACCAGAGATTTATACATCAGAAACTGTTGTTTCATTCAAAGTAGTTGGTTTGAGTAAGAAGACATACTCTAATGATGTGATCATTGCTTAAAACATTTTGGGAATGCAAATTTTGAAATTGCTTCTAAGCCTGTGGCACATTTTTTTTTAACTTCATCAAAAGTGGAAAATTTTCATCCGTGGAGAGGGTAGGTTTTTTTTATTATTATTATTATTATGACCAGAATCATTTAAAGGCCATGTACACAAAAGTAGCACATCAGATTAAGCAATATTATTTTTGGTTTGCTTCTCTCTACTATTAAAAATTAAAAAAAAACCAAGCAGACAAAAACAAACCCAGAATCATGAGGTGTGACTGTTTCTTATGAGCTGACTTTGCTCACATTTTCCAAAATAGAATTTCTGGTTGTAGGCATGTGCAGTATGTATCTGATAGCCAAGGGGCCAATGTATTTTCAGATGTGTGACTTAGAAAATCATTGCATTTATTAATAGCATATCTCTAATATCTCACATATCTCTAATATGTTTAAACTAAATTTTAAATGCTATAGCTAACCTTATATATTATTTTTAAGACTAGACCAATGACAGATAACTTTGTTATAATAGCAGTTTTCACTTCCCTTTTGTTCTTGTTAGAATGGGATGGTATCCTTGGGTTTGAATTAGTTTATTCAGCCAAAATAATTATCTTATAGAGACTCATTCTCCCTAGTCTATTTATTAGCACATACTTTGTAGTCATATACTTCTACTTAGGTGATCCTTACTCTAGACAACTAGGTTTTGCATATGTAAATTAGGAATTATTTTTTGGCTAATAATTTGTGTGTCAGAGTTAAGTGAAACAAAATATATAAAAGATCTGTGGTGTGTTTTCCAAGAGTATCTTGGAACAACATCTTGTTTTTTTCGAAGAGTATCTCTCTGAGATATTAAAAAAAAATCTGTTGTACAAATAAAATTTTAAAAGTATGATCAAAGAGAAAGGGACTCCTTTTATGGACTTTCTGAGTTTGATGAATTTACTCTGGGTTAGTGGATTTTCTTTTTTTGAGGTTTAGAATATGTTTTAAACATAAAATAATCATTGCATTTATAAGAGAGAGCCAGTGGAAATCAAAAAAGAGTTGTTTCTAAATATCCAATGATTTCAGTGATTCATGAAAATACTTTTGTTTCCTTAAAAAAATTCCATATATGCACACTAATCATTTGGCCTTTTCCAGGCTTAACCCTTGGGGAGTTAGTGGTATTTGGCTCTTGTCAGAGAAGTCTCTTTCTGTCTCTCTCTGTCTCTGTCTCTCTATCTCTGTCTGTCTGTCTGTCTGTCTGTCTCTCTCATCAGACAAATCCTTTTCCTTATACATTCCTGCTGCAGTTTGGACCTGGCCAGCCTTCAGGTGGTGGCTTTTGGTTCCCACTATCCTTCATTCTTCTACTTTATACCTTTGTTATTACCCAACTATAGAGGTTCAATTTAAATATTTACATTCCCAACACATTTATTTTAACCTGATTACCAATAGCCCTGGTTAAAATAAGAATCTAAAAGTATCAAAAGGGCTCAATCACTACCTAAAATGATAATTTAAAATTGTATAAGTGTTATAAAATTGAGAACAAGAAGAAAGCAGACACAAAATTTAAATAGCAATTGACTCATGATAACATTCACACCACCCTAATTTTCTTCAGAAACACTTGATAGTTTGTTACTTTCTGATAGCTGTGGTTTGGTAGTTATAGTAAATGATTTGCCTTTTTTTAATGTGTACTTTTTCTATGTTCTGTATTTATTTGATATTCACTTTTTGGAATAAAATATCCTTAGTGTTAGAGTCAAAATCTCAATGCATTAGACCCTAGACTTCCAGAGTCAAGGTAAAAGTATAATTTAGTTCTTATTTTTCTTAAAATGATCAATCAGTTAAAAAATACCAACTCTCTCAAATATTTTTTTAATGGATGTCTTATAAAACTCTAAAGAACTGCTAACAAAACCAAAATAATCAAAATAAGAACCCCAGGTAGCTGTTAACTTCGAGGCACACATTACCTTTCATTACTACTGCACCATTGGAACAAATTTTTCCCAAGGTGACTTGAGTCTGGAGTTGAGTGAAATGTTGAAGATTGACAGACATAATAAGGGTTTTCTGGTGGTTTATTGGAGATAAGAGTCTCATGGACTTTTCCTGCCCAGGCTGGCTTTGAACTTTAATCCTCAGATCTCAGACTCTTGATTAGCTAGCATTATAGATATGAGCTGCTAGTGCTAAGCAAAATTACGTACTTTTAAAGATTAATTTTTTTACCTAACAACATACACAGTATTCAGAAAATTATTCTGTCTTAAATAGACTGAAATTCTATAGCATAAATTCAACTGCCATCAACTAAAATTTAAGATATTTTATGACTGCTTTTATTGGTCACCATGCTATTTTACTTTAGTATCAGGACTTAAACTTCTCAAATCGTACACACATAAAACTTTATTATATAAGAAATAATTGCTGTTAATTGAGGGTAAAATAAATACTTGGGTTTATTGGGGTAATTAACACAAGCAAGAGTCTTTTTGAAAGAATAAAATTTAAAATTAAACAAATAAAATATATTTAAAAATATTCATTTAAATATATTTAAAGCAAACTCACAAAGCTGAGCTGGATATAAGAACAACAAATCGGTTTTGTAGGTAATGATGAATCTTCTGGCCAGTGAACCACTGTAGTTGTTTTAATTTTCTTAAAATATAAAAACATTTTTTTCTGATCTCATGGAATATTCAGGAGAAAGTGCTTTCATATACTGTGACAATATACATTTTGGATAAATATATATACACATGGGGAAACAACACTGTGATTTGATTAATAAATCATACTGGTTTACTTTTATAATAGAATTTAAAGCTGGAAGTCATTTAGTTCAATCTACTCATTTTATCTGTAACTTATGTTACTATATTTTATTATAGAATTTAAGTATAAATACATTCAATATGTATAAAGCAGATTAAATAAATATAAACAGTAATTGTAATCATGTATTAATCAGAAGATATATCACGACACAAGGATGTATGATTGATCTATTATTCGACACAAATTTAAAATTAAAAAGGAGTACATATACGCACAAATAATGTTCCTGAGTTAGTAACCATCTCCTTATAATAGAATTGAAAGTCTCAAAAAAATATCAAATTTTTATTTCTAGGAGAAACTATGCAACTTATTTGATGATAAATTTATAGTTTTTGGCTATAAGTTGAAAAGTTAATAGTTGCGTATATAATTATAATATGTATGTTATGTGTTTTGATAACATAAGCAACCCTAGTGAACACTCTGGAAAAGTTTTCCATTCTTAGTTTATATTTGTTTTTTCAGAACATATTATTTTTCTCTAAGAAATGATGTGACAAAACATTAAGTTTTGTTTATATAATATAGAAAGTTTATTTGGTCACTAAAATCACACTTTTTATGAGATGTTAGCATTATCTTTTAAAAAGTAATTCACATTGAAGCATTTGATGATCAAAATAGCACATGCTTAGTAAAGAATATTGAAAAGGAAGAAAAAGAAACAATTAACTACCAGCATAACACAGAATAACAGCACAGAATATATTTCAGTGACCTGTCTCATTAGGTATGTTTCCTTTCTTCAACAAATTTCATGAGAACAAACAGACAGACAAAAGACATACACACACACATACACACACAGACATCTATACCTATGAATGCCTTATTGTGCATTCTGGCTCCCCTTTCTATGTTTCTGACTTTCAGCAACTCATTTAACTCCTTGATGATTTAATGTCTTTGTCTTTAAGTTTAGTAATAATAACTATGGTATGGGTTTGTAAATATTGAGTGAGGAAATAAGCCAGGGTTGGAGAAGTGTTTCTAGCATAATATAGGTTAATTTTTACTGTTGTGATGATCGTCTGTCAGTTATTTCACATTGCCAAAGTTTTCTCATTTTTATCTGAGAAAGATAGTCTTTGTTAGTATTTGGTATTATTTTCAGTAAGCCACAATAAAACATTTTTTCTTTCTATGATAATGGTGGTTAGCAGAACATCTGAAAAATATGTTCCATGCAAAATGGATCTTCACACAGACTTATTTTGTCATTTCAGTTTGAGTTTTGAGAAATGAGTTCAGCATATCTGCCAAATCCTTTTATAAGATGCTGCATTCCTGTTTTTATTTTAGTTTATTTCATTTATGAAAAGCTTTTCTTCTCCACCCTGCCCCTGGACAGTTAGGTCTCCTCTCCTCTCTTCTTCTTTATCCTAAGCTATAATGTCACTGCTACATAACATCTTTAATAGCCAATCTAAAATGGGGGGGGAGGGTTGGAAAAGAATCTGTCACTGTGTTTTAACCATCACTCTATTAGTGTAGTTGGATTTAAAGCAAAAACAACAAAACCAAAATTCTGTCTGACACTGAAAATATTGGAATTTGATAATGAACTTTTTTCTTTGCCAAATTTAAAATGACAGATTTTTTTTCCCCTCTCTTAGTGCAGAAGGAGGCAGCAGGTTTGGGGAGGGAAACGATAGAGTAAAATAGCTGTAGAAGAAACAGTTTGCAAACATATGTTAATATTTAGATTCTTTTTTTTTTGTAAGTGAAAAGTTAACTGGTTAATGCTTTTTTACAAACTGCCTTTGATACTGTGTTTTGTTTATTCCATCCCAGAAGAAGTTAGCGGTATACAGCAAGATGCAGGACTCTCTGGAAATCACCCTTCCCAGCAAACAAGAGGAGGAGGAGGAGGAGGATGAGGAGGAGGAGGAGGAGGAGAAAGACCAGCCTGCCGAGATGGAGTACCTTAACTCTCGCTGTGTCCTTTTCACTTATTTCCAGGGAGACATTGGGTCAGTAGTGGATGAACACTTCTCAAGAGCTTTGGGCCAAGCCAGCACCTTCCACCCAGAATCTGCCATTTCAAAAAGCAAGATGGGGCTAACCCCCCTATGGCGAGGTAAGAATTCAAAAGCAGATGCTGTCCAGGGCACTGTCTCTGTTACGCCACTGCCTGTACCAGGTTCCAGCTGGAGGCTTGCCCCTGGAGGACGGATATCCACTAGGTTTTTAATTTTTAAGGACAGCAAGGAATTTCTTTCAGACAAACAGCTGGATCAGTTTTGTCACATGTGGAATGCAGGATTGGAAAGGATGCAGTCACACCCCTTAAATTCCTCATGGAAAATAGTGATATAACTGAGCCTGAGTTTATAGTGGCTGTGAATGGAGCTGCAAAGCCCCATTGCTAAAGCCCCCATGGCCCAATTTGGATCTCTGAATAATAGGCGTGCCTGAATCAGCTTCTATTTAAAAAAAAAAATAGCTTTTGCTCATTCCTGTACGTGTTACGTGGTGACCTAGTAGAGGTCTGAATCTGAAGGGAACACAGGTTTAAAGCCTTATGTGTTCTTCCTGCAGCTTTTTTTTTCCTCTGTGGATTTATTATTCACTCTTTATAGAATACAATCTAGTCATCAAAAGTAGCATCTTTATGGTTTAATCTGATGTTTTTACCTTGATACACACAGAAAGCTTCAGATGAACTCTTCTTGATTGCCTTCGGTATGGAGGTAACAGAGATTTGTTTGCATCTGACTTCTGACTCATGAAAAATTGTGTGACGTCTTAATCATGGTAATTACAAGGCTAGAGGAGAAAATACCACGTCCTTCCCATGATAGCTTCAGAGAGAAGGCATTACAGATTTTTTTCCTCCAAATTACCTACTTACAAGAAGAATCTAATAACGTGGTTCTTTACATCTGCTTGCTTTCCTTATTAGGAAGATGGACATCACACAGAAGTCTGTGAGAAATTCAAATTCTTGAGCCATGCCTTAGACCTAGAGTATCAGACACTCTAGCTTGTATTAAATTAGCCTTTTCAGTGATTTAGATGGAGAAGAAAGTGTGACAAGTTCTGATCTAGTGCTGCTAGACATGTTGTAGGGTGCCTTGCCACAAATCCATTGCACCCACATCATACTCTATCAAATGCTCAGAGTGATCCTCATGAAGAAGCCACCTGAAGTAGGCTCAGGTGAGCTGTGACTACTGGCTCCTCTCAATTTCAGAGGAATGGTTCTACTCTGTTGGACAGGTGCTGGCTTGCTTGCTAGGTCTGATCTGTAGATCAAATGTTTTTTTTTCCCCCTTTCCCCCTTTTTGCTCTTTCCCTTTTCCTTTCCTTCCTCCCTGTCCATTCCCCTCCCATTTTTCTCTGGCATACACAATACTTAATTGGTAAATACCATGGACTTTTTTCCAGAAACTGAGCCCTAAGATGCTTATGGAGTCATCTCATATTCTATTTAACAGCATATAGTAAATGTTAATAATTTGTAGGAAGTAAGAAATCCTCAATGAATCTTATAGTTTTACTAAATAGCCTGTTAATAATAAATTCTATGAAAACAATGTTTCACTAGAGTAATAAATGTGATGTCCACTTTTTAAAAAAAAAACAAAAACTGTGGATTGCTCCGCCTGGAAAGCAGAAACTTGGGCCCAAAATTATCCATAGAAGTTGTTTACAGCATTACAGTCAGTAGAATTTACATATATATGCATATATTTACATATATATGTGTGTGTGTGTGTATATATATATATATATATATATATATATATGCAAAACCACTTCAATCCATGGGTACTCTTCATGTATATATATATATATATATATATATATATATAATTAGAATAATCAGAGATCTTTAAGCAGATGTAATATTTTAGTAAACAGAGTGAACAGTGATGTTTTTTAATGATTATGATAAAAGTTGTCTTTTATTTCATATCTTTTTCAAGTGTACCTCTTGTTTCATTCTAATGAAATTTATGTTGTACATAATTACTCTCCTACTGTGCAGTAAGTAGAATTCCGGATATGGGGACTAGAACAGCAAGTAGATTGACAGAAGCCTTCTGTCCACGTAATAGCTTTGTTTTGTTTTTTTCCTGGATGGTAGAGATAGTGAAAAAGATACTGTGACCTGCAGGATGACAATGGAAGCCTTATCTGAGATGGTTTCATCTCAAGAGACCTGAAGAAAATAATATTCTTCATATGAATATTTCTGAAAAAAAAATTCTACTGAGGAGAACTAGCCAGAGTAAAGGACCAGAAGATGGGCTGAACTTAGAATGTTCAGTGAGGGCCGGGTGCTGGTGGCTCACGCCTGTAATCCTAGCTACTCAGGAGGCTGAGATCTGAGGATTGCGGTTCAAAGCCAGCCCGGGCAGGAGAGACCGTGAGACTCCTATCTCCAATAAACCACCAGAAAACCGGAAGTGGCGCTATAGCGCAAGTGGTAGAGTGCTCACCTTGTGCTGAAGATCTGAGGGACAGTGCCAAGGCCCAGAGTTCAAGCCCCATGGCCGACCAAAAAAAAAAAAAAAAAAGAATGTTCAGTGAGGAACAGACATCCTTCGGTGCTTGAGGTGAAGTGATAGGACACATATTCTAAGGCATTTTGTCTCTTCCTCTCCCACTGTGACTATAAATACCCTATCTAGTTGGTTCACATAATTTTTCTCCAAGAAAATGTCTTTTTATGTGGATACTCTAAATAAAACGGATTGATTAGGTTTTTGGAGGTGAACTAAGTTGGTACCATGCACCTAAGATTAGAAAAACAAAAGTCTTCAGTAGAGGATTTTTTGGTACTATGCTGTATGATATCTCTTGGTACAGTTTTCTCACTTATAAAACAAGTAATTGAATAAAATAATTGCTGTTTTTCTTTGTGTAAAGTTCTGTGATTTCAAATGTATTATTTACTTCTTATATGTAAAAAGAATTTGCTATTGCTTCTACTTGTGTCTTTGCTTTAAATCAACATACAAACTCGGGTATGATGCATGGGAGCCACAAAAGAAAGAATTTACTATTGCTTCTACTTTTGTCTTTGCTTTAAATCAACATACAAACTCGGGTATGATGCATGGGAGCCACAAAAGAAAGGTTGCAGAGACAGTGTAACAATGTGAGTGCCATATGGTGGTGAGATGTAATTGTAAGTGCTAAAAACGACACAGGATTAATAGTGTAGTCTTTGGATCCTGCTCATTTTGGATTCAGGTCCTTACCTTATTATTTGCAGGTTGCAATATAATCTTGGATTAAAAATTTAAAATCTCTCTGAGCTCAAATTCCCTCACTGTAGTATGTGTTTGTTGACATTCTTCTAATGTTATAAAATTTTTGTGATAATGTGTGTGAATACTTTAGCACAGGATTTGGAACAAAGTATACAATTAAAGTCAGGTGCTTATTCTCTTTCCTTAAGTTAGTTTATACTCATTTGGCACAGAAAAAAATCTTGATTCTGTTCTGAAGCATTGCTTTGTGAAGCATTATTTTTTTAAAAAAATATCTTGGAAAAATAGGAGCTATAGGCTATCCATCTTGTTAAAGGTGATAGCACTTTATAAAGGAGCTACTAAACACCAATATTAAATCATCTAGTTTGTAGCATGAAGTTATCACACACCCACTGACATGATACAGAGATACAAATGAACTAAGAACTGAATTATGTTTCATTGTAGAATAGATTAATAGTAAATGTTCAGGCTAATATACTGACATAGATAATAATATAGTAGTATCAAATTTAACGTGCATTTTTTATGAGCTAGGGACATTGTCAGTACCAAAATTTGAACTCAGGGCTACCTGCTTGCTTAAGTTTGCTTGCTCAGCTAGTACACTACCACTTGGGCCATGTATCCAGTAAGCTTTTTGTTAGTTAATTGGAGATTCAGTCTAGTTCCACAGATTTTTCTCTCTAGGCTGGCTTCAAACTATGAACCTCTATATCACAGCTTTTAGAGTAGCTAGAATTATAGGTGTTGCCACTGTCACCCAGCACTGAGAGGAAATATTTTTTTGTGCTCGTTGGTAGAACCTCTTATCAGTTATCGCTAATTTTACTATACATTTTTTTTTTGGGTCCAGTTGTGGGGCCTGAACTCTGGGCCTGGGCGCTGTCCCTCAGCTCTTCAGCTCAAGGCTAGCGCTCTACCACTTGAGCCACAGCGCCACTTCCGGCTTTTTTCTTTTTGCTTATATGGTGCTGAGGAATCGAACCCAGGGCCTCGAGCATGCAAGGCAAGCGCTCTGCCACTGAGCCACCTTCCCAGCCCCTTTACTATACATTTTAATGAGTGGTAAATAGAGCTTTTCAGTTAAGAAAATGTGCTTGTCACCTTACACTATGCATCTATTTTCCCTGAAAGTTGTATGTGTGTGTGTGTGTGTGTGTTGTGTGTGTAAAAGATAGTGTTAGTTATCAAGGCTTACCAAAATAGGTCAGAGATTTAAAAATTCTGCATATTGATAAAATTACTGGCAATTTTTTCTTGTAGTTTCAAAGCTAATTATCTATTGGTCAGCGGCTGTAATAATCTGCTAGTAGCATCTCAGTTATAAGGGGAAGACCCCCGCAAATGAATACTAAACTTTACCAGCCTATAGGAGGAGATGCATGCTGATAAGCTGGCTAACTGGGAACAACAGAGCTGAGCAAGAATTCTAGGAGGCACTGGAAGAACTCGATTTCAGGAAGTTTAGGAAGAACATGTAAAAGTGAGGTCCCACTGAAGTCATCCCAGTGCCCTCCGGGGGTATGGGCAGCCCACACCACTCTAAATCTCTCCTTGGGGAGTCACAAGACCTATTTTGAGCAACTCTACAATAAAATAACCAGAGGCAATCTTTTGATGGTACAAATCACACATGATCGATAATGGAACAGAGATTTCATTTGACTTCTGATCCAATAGTTCGTTTTATTGGAAAGCAGAATAAGAGAATGGAACTTAAATTATATCAGGAATTGTGTTGAGGATGTTTTCTTTAATGAGATCTTTTATGTAAAGGTTATCTTTAAATGCAAAGTATTTTTCATCAATATTTAATACAAAGGTTATGAAGATGATGAGTTCAAGAGTTTCATGTTCCCCTTTTCTTAAGATAATTTTCTTTGTTTTCAAAATTAAATATTTTAAAATAATTTAGATTTTGAATTTTTTTCTTCCTCAAAGTATTCTCTCTTCAGTTTTAAAAAAGAAATATATAAGGTTAATATGAAAAGCATCCCAAATTGAAAGAGGTATTTGATATCTTATGTTAAACTCCTTCGTTTTTCTTGCATACATTTCTGGTCTAAAGTTACTTAGTGATATTGTTTAGCATTCTCGGGATAGCTCATCCTGGAAAATACTTTTTTTCCATTGTCTTTTTCATTTAGAAATGAATGTGTGTAGATTTGTGTATATGTGTGCTTCTGAGTGTATAATCATTGTAAATCTCAAATGGGAACTGAACCAAATTATATTTAGGCTCTACATATATGTTTGACTATCAGAGCTAATATCATTGAAATATTATTGTGACCCAAATCTTGAATAGTAGTGAACCCAAAATTACCATAGAGAGTTTGGGTTTCCTTCCATCAACCCGAAAAAGTAGTATTGCATGGAAATAGCTAGCACAATTTTTCATATGTTTTTATATTCAACAATGTGGCTATGATTAAGTACCCATAAGCAGAGTCACATAATGAAAAAATTTACATACATATGAAATAAGCACACTGCTTCTCCAGCATGAAGCAAAACATGTCATCTGTTTTGTTGTGTAAGGAATTTTCTTTTAAATAAGCAAGATACCAAGTAGTGATTCTGGAGTATAGATTTCTGCATAATTATTTTCCACTCAGTATTGTTTCAGTTATCTATAAAGTGCAACAGTGTTTTTGGTAAAGGCATGTATAGATCTCTGGAGAATTTATAGTAATGGCTTATGCCAGCTGGGAAAATATTAAGTTGCTTTTAATTTTATTTTTTTCCCTCCAGGATTGTCAAGTGTTATTGTTCAATCTTTGAAAAATAGATGTCTACTTTCAATGATGATGTGTTCACTCTCTGCAACATGATAATTCATAAATAGGATTAGATTGTTTGGGGAAGGAATTTGTTCAATATATATTTGTGTATGAAGATCTCAAATTATAACAAATGTATACGACTGGTTCTATGTACATACAAACTAGAAGAGATGAAACATAAACACTCAGAAAAAATGGAATATTCTCTCTACTTTTGACATTTTGAAGCTGGGGGGAGGGGCGTTGGTGAATAAAGGGAACTCTGTCTCAGGCACATATTTGTGGTCTGGAGTTCAGTAGGTTTTATAATGGAATTCTGGTTGTACCAGGAGAGGGAAGTTATGAGCAGAATGAAGACTTCGTCCCAAAGATGAAATTTGTGATGGCAAAGTGATAAATTGGTGATGGCCAAGCTGTGGTGTGTGATTCAGAGAACCCTCCATGAACTTAATGTGGGCTTTATGTCTTAATCATGATGACTTTCATTATTAGTGTAACAAAAATGTTCTACAAATTCCATTGCCTAAGACAAACTGAATTGTTTTTCCACAAGATTTGCAATTTTCCTTTTCATTAGCAGCATTTTTCATATGCCCACAGGAGGCAATGATTAAAGAAAACATATTTGCTTCAAGTAAGAGAACAACATATTTGAGATTGAGTTGAAGCACAATCTATTGATAGCTTTCTGGAAATGCCTGAAGATGAGTAGATAGTCTTATCTAATGCCTCCTTAACACCATTTTTTCCTGTTTCTGCAAATGATTTGAGAGCTACAGTTTTACTCTAAATTTTACTGTCAATGTATTTATTCATGGAACAAATAAAGAGAATGATGGTGATATTAGTTGTACTACTAGTGCCACAACTTGTATGAAAATTAGAGAATATGACAGCACAGTGACAGCCTAGTTATACCAGTTTCATGATATATTTGGTGGTTGATTTAAGTTATTTATGCTTTTCCCTATGGCAGGAAAACTGTCTCTTAGAAATTTATGAAGTGAAATGATAATAAATGTTAAGATTTTGAGTATTCCTAATTCAGATCACTCCTTAGAATATCCTTCATTCAGTGAGAAGACCTAGCAAGTTTTTTTTAAAAATATGGAATCATATATGAAAATACATGTATTACTAATACCTTTAGTGGCTATGTTCAGCTATAACAAGGAACAATCAATAAGGCACTCAACAGAATGCTAGATTCTGACTGAAAAACAATAATCTGAGTGAAATGCATTTCAGCCCTAAACTTTTTTTGGAGAAGTGGGGTTTGGGGGAAGAGGCAAAAGAATCATTATGTTCACTTGTAGTCCATAAGGTGTGAGCTGGCATGATAACTTTTTGACCACCTACACAAAACTAGAGACAAGAGATTAGAGACATGGTCACTACAGGTGAACATATGTGGATCTTACTCTACATTAACTAGATTAAAATCCTTTGAAGATTTCCCTCAGGGAATAGAATTGTATTCAGTACTCTGGACAGAAAGGTCACACTCTTCTGAGGCCTTTGAAGCTCTACAGTCTTATAGACTTTACTTTTTGGTCACTTACTCCCTAATGAACAAATTATAGTCTTTAAATGATGTACTGCTCTCACTACTGTATGTAGACCTGTGTGAGTACTGTGTGTCTGCACACACGTTTATATTTACATGTGTGTACATATGTAACTCTCTCCTCCTCCTTTACAGGATTACCTACTATGGAACCTTTCAGCTTTAACAGTTATCACTTTGTTAGGCTGTTCCCAGGTTCTTTATCTCCGCCTTCTACTTGACCACACTTTATCTGCCCTCCTCTAAATAAAAATGATGTCTAGGCATCCCTGACCCTATGTTTGTCACATAGTAGGTTATCCATACATGTGATGATGAGGATATTAAGTTGATAGGACTGGTGGAGTTGCAGAGAATTCTTCCTGTTCCTTCCTTATAACTAGGTTCCTTCCTTATAACTATTATTTGTTATTTCCAACTCCTCATAACCTCTAAACCTATAAGCTTCCAAACCCATATCCTATACTGGAATCTCCTTACAATATTATTTCCACAGAATTGTCATAAATTCCAGAGGTTTGGGGTACATTTTTAATTGTACCCTCTGGTAGTTATGAAGCCTTTTGATCATTGAGAGAGGCTATTGGATTGTTCTTACCAGTCTGCCTTAAACTGTTTCTCTGCTTTTATTTCCTCATCACTAAAATGGATTGGATAAAATAACTCCCTCTTGACATTGGTGGGATTCTTGACTGAGATCATCTGTGAAAAGTCCCTGACCTGGAGTTGAAAATGTGATTCTCATCATGTTAACCACTGTTATTCTGAGTCCGTAGACCAATAAGTTTCCCTAGGAGAAAAATGAAATGACATACAATGTTAGTGGTAAATAAGTCGGTGAGCACAATTCAAGATGATCTTGATGCAATTTGTTACTATTGGCATTGGAAATATTTGACTAAAAACTATTTTTGCTTAACCAGGGTGGATAAAATTACTCCCAATCAACTCACAGCTCACCTTTGGCATAACTATTCTTTATTGGAGAAATGTGCAGCTATGTCATCTTGCAGGCTTAAGGCCCACGTGACTTCCATGAGTCAGCAAAACTCTTCAGTTCTCAAATTACAAACCCAGGACAGCACAGGCTGAATGATCAAATGTGAAGTGGATGTTAGGAAGGGGAGGAAAGGGAGAAGAGCATTCAACTCTTGGAATTCTGACCACTATGCTAGCATGGAAGCCCAGAGGTTAACGTGGTATCAGTTTACCCCAAGCGGAGAAAGAAAGAGTGCATGCTAATGCACCTGCTTATAAAACATGTTCAGGCAAGTAAAGACAAGTCTGCCCCAGAACTGAATCTTACATAAATAATGTGTTTTCTGTCTTCTCAGACAGCTCAGCTCTCTCAAGCCAGCGGAGTAGTTTCCCAACTTCTTTTTGGACCAGCTCTTACCAGCCCCCACCGGCACCCTGTTTGGGGGGAGTTCATCCTGACTTCCAGGTCACCGCACCCCCTGGCACCTTTACTGCAGCTGACCCCAGCCCCTGGCCAGGCCATAGCCTGCATCAGACTGGCCCAGCCCCTCCCACTCCCACGTCTGAGTCCTGGCACTATCCTTTGGCATCTCAGGTGAGCCCGTCATACAGCCACATGCATGATGTATACATGCGGCACCACCCGCATGCGCACATGCACCACCGCCGCCACCACCATCACCACCACCACCACCATCACCCTGCAGCTGGCTCTGCTCTGGATCCATCCTATGGGCCCCTGCTAATGCCATCAGTGCGTGCGGCCAGGATTCCTGCTCCCCAGTGTGACATCGCAAAGACAGATGCGACCACAGTCACCACTGCTACCTCAGCGTGGGCTGGAGCCTTTCATGGAACAGTGGACATTGTACCAAGTGTGGGGTTTGACACAGGTGAGCTGGCAGCTGCCCTTCTTTCTATCAAAAGAAGAAAATGGTTAAGAAATAAGAAAAGATGTCATGTTTTGCTTAAATTCATTTTGAAATAGCTTTTCCTCTTGTATAGGGTAAGTTAAGCTTTGTTTTGTAGATGCTAGTGATTTTGCAATATTTGCATTCTTGTGAAAACTGGTATAACTAGCTTATGACTGAGGAAAGTCTCAGGACTTTTCTCCTATCTTTGAGGTTGGAGATAGGTTCCTGTGAACTGAATCTCGGGTTCCGTATGTTTATAAACAAGTAAAGGCATTCCTTATATCTCCTATATCTCTGTGCTCAATACCTTGTACAATGCCCAGGAGAATTTGTATGCCTCAGTAAGTTTTATGTTGTTTTTATCTTATTAGACCTCACTCATGAGTTTTAAAACAAAGTACTTTCTGGAATGTCATCTATAGTTTAGTCCTTTGAAAAAAGGGTAAGGAAACATATTTTAAAAGAATGTGTTTTTTTCTTTCTTTCTCTTTTCTTCTTGGGTCTTTCCTAACCTTGATATCCTTAACTTTCTTTCCTCCCAAATACCTCTACTTAAATAAAGCAAGAGTTAAAAGACTACTATAAAATTTATTTACAATAGACTTTTAAAAGATGGTAAGGAATACACTTCTTCAGAGTATTCAGCTCTATGGAATTCACTAGTCTTGAAGGTGATAGTATTAAATGCTTGAGCTTAAATCTTGGACCAGATGGGAGATATAGTAATAGTAGTAATAATAATAATATAATAATATAATATAATAATATCAGACAATATACAATATTCAATATGTATACTTGTATATATGTATATATACTCAGGTATATATACATACAATATATACATATATAAATATATTTTTGAGGTGATTATATTCCGAGTCTATATTCCAGTGTTACCCATTTCAACTTAAATCCCAAGTTCTTTACCTAACATACTTTGTGACATAAAAGACACTATTAAAGATACTTATTCAGTTTTTAAATTTGCAGTGTAAATGATCCCTGAGTGTTGTTGATTCATAACAGAGCACTCTAGATGATCAAATGTTTGGTATCATGCTCCATTCACACTTATGAGTGGAACTTTCTTATTTTGTCGGTTCTTCTCTACTGAGTTTTCATCTTCCTTTTGAGTCTCTGCTTTTCCAAAATATTTCCAAGTGTGGTAAACCAAGCCTGTATCAGGGAGTGGGTCTTGATTTCTAGGCTATGTGTGTTCTGGGACTAGTAAACACAGACTTTCTTCCTTTGTCATATCCAAATGAAGCAACTCTTGAGTCATTCATGCCTGTAGTCAGGTATTATTGAAGTCTCACTTTAGTCATCTCCTTTGTGGATGGCCAATCTAGGACAGTATCATCAGCTTCACATCCATGGTACCTGTGGGGCCTGAGTAACAATGCTTTCAGCAGGAAAAGGGTGTTTTCTCTTTCTGTATTCTATCATTAAAAGAAGTGTACATGCTACTTATTGCTCTCCATTTTTAATTATCTGCTATCTTTGGACTAATATCTATAAACTGAAGAGTGAGTTTGATTCACTCATTATTCAGAATGCCAGCTTGTTGTCTTGTCAGGATGAAAAGCCCTATTCTTACCTCTCAAAAGTGGGAAAAAGTGTGTTTTTGTTGTAGGATAATCTTAAGAGGATCCACTTGGGTGTATTGTAAAGTATATTTTTAGTCATGTCTGCAGCACCTTTTCATGTTAGTTATTTACTAGGTAGGTTCTAATTTTAGGCTGCATTCAACTACTATCTTCCTATTTGTGTTTCCCCATGTCATGGGAGATGACAGGCACATGACATGGCACCCAACCATGTGCTTCCCCCACAGCTGTGATAGTAGGCACAAGCTACCATGTGAGTCATTGGTTGAGATGGAACTAGATTACAGGCTTGAACCACAATTCCCCAAAATATTTTGTTATACTTATTCACCCATGAATTAATTTTTATTGAACAGACACTATATAAGGAATTATCCAAGGAAAATATACCTATCTACATATCCAGTTCTCCATATTTATTTATTTACATACACATATATGCAAATTAGATTTCCAAGTTGATCCATTTCTATCTATCTATCTATCTATCTACCTATCTACATACTACCAACCTATGTATATAATCTATGTATATAATCTCTATCTATCTATCTCTATAACTATATAGCTTATATAGCATTATAACCTAACCTTAGATTTGAACCAAGACTTGTCCTCCTTTTAAATAATTACTGGAGTAGAAACTCCTTTTGTATTCATAGAAAAAAATTAGGTAAATGATAATGGCGCAATGGTTAATAATGATGAATGAAGTATTTTTTACTTGTTCCTTTGGCACAAAATGTTAGGAAATCCTAACTGTTAAGGTAGTACACATGATGCTTTTGTGAAGTTTGAATCAAGAGTGCCTTATGGGACTAGCCATATTTGGCAGGGTTTATTGGTCATGCCTACTTTACTGACATGAACTGCTGTTTCTTGAACAGACTTTGTGTACAGTTAACTTACAATTAGTGTGTTAATATGATTCTAAGTCACCTGTATCTCCTTGAAAAACCACACATATTCCCAAAAGTCTTTTGTCACAGATATCAGCTTATGCTACTTCCCTTTATTATTAACTGGCTTCTATGAGTCCCATGGGAACAGTAATTCCAGAATGTGAGATTAATTGAATGAATAGAAAGATCTATTGTCAAATAAATCTGACAGCATTGCCTAGTATATACTTCTCTTAGAGAGTACCATCTGCTTTAACATTTAAAAAGCTTTTTTACATTCTTTAGTAAATGAATGTTAAATTTGTTTAATAGGAGATTTTTTCCACTATGGTTTTCTTATGAGCACATTTTGTCTTTAGCATATTTACTAGCTTCTCATAGAATGCTTTTTGGCTCATTTAGCTTTTTTTTTTCATAACAAAAGACACTCTTTTAAACTTTGATTTGTAACTTTCAACTCTAGAGTTTAAAAAGTTTAGGTGGGCCTGCAATTAATGTATAATGGTAAGAGAAGGAAGGGGGCCAGATGCTGGTGGCTCACGACTGTAATCCCAGCCCCTCAGGAAGCTGAGCTCTGAGGATCCCCGTTCAAAGCCAGCCCAGGCACTCCAATAAGCTATCAGAAAACAGGAAATGGTGCTGTGGCTAAAGTGGTGCTGAAGAGCTGAGGGACAGCATCCAGGCTCAGAGTTCAAGCCCCATGAGGGAATATCTAGCTTCAAGAATCCTTAGAATATTGTATGAATCCTTTGTGTGTTAAGAATAAGACATCTAAATGTGCAAATGTTTGCAGCTGTGCCAGTATTACAGTCAGACTTATGAATATGATAATATGCATCCTTTTCTGCTTAAAGCTTTTGGTGATGACATTAAATAAATGCTGATGTGCTATTCACCTTTCACTAGTCATAGATGTTCAATGCATTATATTGAAATATTGTTATTCTGCCTTCCCGTTATAATCATGAAACTTCACTAATATAAGGCATACAACCTCATATTTCTTGATCCATTCAAATTAATTTTTACACAGAGATTTGTTAATGAAACCTTTGACTAAACCACAAGGGTGGCTTTGTAATTTTCACTTCATTCACTGCATTTTAATTTTATCAAAGTAAAAGAATCATGCTTTGTGATGGGACATCTCTATAAACACAAGCTGGTCATAGCTTGAAATTGTATTCATCAGTAGAGCCACAGATTTATTTTTTTAGAAAACCTCATGTTATCTTCACTACAGTTTTTTTTTTTGTGAAGAATGTCACAATAGTGTAGCTTAGAATTTACATAAACAACTTAGAGATGTGCTATATGTATTATTTTTACTGACATATTTAGGTAACCTAAAATTAAAACTCAAAACCAAACATTCTGTACTATCTCAGAGGTTCATGAAATCTGGTGCTAACAAGGAATAAAAACATGTTGATGTTATTCTGGCTTCTTCAAAACATATTTTAGGAGTGTTAGCCATAAATGTGTGCAAGTAAATTCAATGAGGGAATCATTAGATGAGCTTTCCTCGAACTATGATGATAGATAGAAAGTACAAATCATCTAGTTCATCTCTCCCTAACCAAAATATTGTCAGATATCAAGTAAAAATCAAGATTGTGTATCACAGAACATTGGTTTTTGCCAGGCAGAGAAAAACAAAACTACCATAGTTATTAGATCCACACGTTGCTTGTGAAATGAAGGTTGTGAAATTTTCCATAAAAACAGGAGGCTAAGTTTCTAGAACTTTGTTGGATGTTGATGTATAAAATGGATTGTTTCTGAAGAGACTTTTAATGTCCCTTAGCCTCACTCTGAACTGTAACTAAAATTACTCTTTCATGAAGACTGGAATCCTGCTGACTTAAATGTTGCTATCAGGAAGGGAGCAAGGATACCACCGAGGAAGTTGGAAGTACACAAATATTCTTATCTATTCATTTCTTTTCATAGATACTTTGCGTCTTTTAAATCAAAGTTTAATCTGAAATTTATAGGAGTTTTATGTAGTTTAATCTGAACTTTATAGTTCATATTTTGGGAAAGGAACTTCATTCACAAATGACAAAAATTAATATTAATGCTCAAAATTGTAGTTTAGTGGAGCATGTGTTTAGCATAGGCAAAGCTTGGATTCCAATATGAAGTACCTCCCACAATTTGCTAGGTAATGTATAATGTTCATTTGGGAACAGGCTGAACCACTGCTTAAGATCATAATGGTCATTACTGTAAGGATGCTTTGCAGTGAAATCATTGACAACAATGTACATATCTTTATTTTATGAGATATAGGAGGGGGGCCGGGAAGGTGGCTCAGTGGTAGAGCACTTGCCTTGCATGCCTGAGGCCCTGGGTTCGATTCCTCAGCACCACATAAGCAAAAAGAAAAAATCTGGAAGTGGCACTGAGGCTCAAGTGGTAGAGCACTAGCCTTGAGCTGAAGAGCTGAGGGACAGTGCCCAGG